AGACCATCGCCAAGCAGCTTGGTGAGAAGGTGACAACAGTTGGTGCGATTATTCGCAAATGGAAGAAACACAAAAGAACTGTCAATCTCCCTCGGCCTGGGGCTCCATGCAAGATCTTACCTCGTGGAGTTGCAATGATCATGAGAACGGTGAGGAATCAGCCCAGAACTACACGGGAGGATCTTGTCAATGATCTCAAGGCAGCTGGGACCATAGTCACCAAGAAAACAATTGGTAACACACTACGCCGTGAAAGACTGAAATCCTGCAGCGCCTGCAAGGTCCCCCTGCTCAAGAAAGCACATATACATGCCCGTCTGAAGTTTGCCAATGAACATCTGAATGATTTAGAGGAGAACTGAGTGAAAGTGTTGTGGTCAGATGAGACCAAAATCGAGCTCTTTGGCATCAACTCAACTTGCCGTGTTTGGAGGAGGAGGAATGCTGCCTATGACCCCAAGAACACCATCCCCACCGTCAAACATGGAGGTGAAAACATAATGCTTTGGGGGTGGTTTTCTGCTAAGGGGACAGGACAACTTCACCGCATCAAAGGGACGATGGACGGGGCCATGTACCGTCAAATCTTGGGTGAGAACCTCCTTCCCTCAGCCAGGGCATTGAAAATGGGTCGTGGATGGGTATTCCAGCATGACAATGACCCAAAACACACGGCCAAAGCAACAAAGGAGTGGCTCAAGAAGAAGCACATTAAGGTCCTGGAATGGCCTAGCCAGTCTCCAGACCTTAATCCCATAGAAAATCTGTGGAGGGAGCTGAAGGTTCGAGTTGCCAAACGTCAGCCTTGAAACCTTAATGACTTGGAGAAGATCTGCAAAGAGGAGTGGGACAAAATCCCTCCTGAGATGTGTGCAAACCTGGTGGCCAACTACAAGAAACGTCTGACCTCTGTGATTGCCAACAAGGGTTTTGCCACCAAGTACTAAGTCATGTTTTGAAGAGGGGTCAAATACTTATTTCCCTCATTAAAATGCAAATCAATTTCTAACATTTTTGACATGCGTTTTTCTGGATTTTTTTGTTGTTATTCTGTCTCTCACTGTTCAAATAAACCTACCATTGAAATTATAGACTGATCATTTCTTTGTCAGTGGGCAAACGTACAAAATCAGCAGGGGATCAAATACTTTTTTCCCTCACTGTATGTAAAAATAATCTGTTCTAATCTGCGCGTAAATTTGAGAATCCGGACATGCGCAGAAGCTTCAGACTTTTAGCTATCTGGAAGAGGTCTCCAGAAAATTAGGAAACGCCACTCCGTTTTTTCTATTTGTTTAATTACAACAAAAACTGAAATATTGAATAATAGCCTAAGACCTTATCTTGGGATATGTAAGACCATTATAGAGGTAGACCATTGCGCTAAACTCGTAAACCGTTCTTATATAGACGGGTTAGCTGACAACGTCATGAAAATGAAACGCACGCTTCAAAGGTACCGTGTGTTGTTGTGATTCTGGATTCAGATCGCTAGCAACAATGACAAGAAACCGCCGTGTGGTGAATCGTAAATTGCTCGTTTGATCTTGTTCCTGATACTGATGGGTTCTGACTTATAAACTAGACATATCCTTAGTCATGTCACAGAGGGAGAGGGAGGAATGCAGGACGTGTAAGTACTGGCGGAACATGCTATTGTTAATTATCAAGTATCCTATGGAAATGAGGAGTGCCATAGTCTGGTTTCTACACCAGAAGTTAATGGTTATCTGTAGGAGGAATGTATATGGTGGAGGCAATCACATGGTTGCAGTCACTGATAAGGGTGGATCAGTGAGGAATGAGGTCAAGTCACATTAAGGGAGAAGGAACAGTTTATTGCCCGCATCTCTGAACTTCCTGCCTAGCAACAAAGATGTAATGTTTTAGAGAAAAGGAGGCGACTCCACCTGAAGTGGGGTGTGTATATATACTTGTGCTGGTGGAAACATGTCTTTGTCTTATGCAGCTGTGTGACCCAGTGGTTTAATAAACTTGGTTGAGCTTTACTAATAATCCTTGAGTTTTACTCGGTTAGTTTAAAACCTAACAATACCATGTCTTGTTCTGAGATGTTTTGACTGATGTCACGTCTATGCTAATATGGCAAAAATGTGCTAGCTAGCTAACCAACAGCTGTAACGATGTATTTCAGATACAAGTGCTCATTGTGAAACTTTATTTGTTTTCCAATAAACTTCGGAGACTAACTATAGTTAAACATGATGTCATCAATCTAAGCCAACCCCATCTGTTTTGCCCCATAGTTGCGCATGTGCCGGTTTTGTTGCTAAACAACCAACCCATCTATTCCTCAAGACTCAATGGAACCATCGGAGGAGAGCTAGCCATAATCGTCTCTAGTGAAAGGTTGTCTGAAATGTATCGTGAAACATTTAACTTTGAAACAGAACCAACCCCTCAAAGGACCAACTATTTGAAATGGGATTTTATTCAAAATATTGCAAGCAGGATTATTTCTGAAAAGGCTACTGTGAGAAATCCAGATCTAAATAGAAGTGGGTCGCTATGAACAAATTGGTGTTAAACATTTCAAAGGCCAAATGTATTGTTTGGCCCCTAGAAATATGCTTGCTGGTGACCCGCAATTAAACTTGTAAGTGGATGGGGTGCCTGTAGAACATGAAAAAGACTAAACTACTTGCAGTCACATTGGAAGTATTGCTATCCTGGTCTGATCATATCGAAAACATAGTTATTAAAATGGGTAAAAGGTATAGCTGTGTCAAGAAAATGCTCAGTGTATTTCCTCTTGCCATGTGATTCAATCATTGGTCCTGTAACACCTAGAGTTCTGTCCAGTCATATGCTTGCATGCAGCAAAATATATCTTTAAACTCCAGCTAGCTCAAAACAAAGCTGCCAGACTAGATCTTCATTGCTCTAACCCGTACAAATATCAACCGACTGCATCATAACCTCTCATGGCTTTCTGTTGAAAGTAAATTACTCTCCAGTCTTTAGATTTTTCTCAGAAATGCAATTCTGTTCAAGAAACCCCATTTATTTCTCAAACCTATTAGTCTACAGTATGTCGGCAATACACGATCACCAAACCAGACAGGCGCGTTTCTGATACCCCTCCAGACCTAGGACAAATCTCCTCAAATCAAGTTCTATACAGAGCCACCACTGAATGGAACTCCCGACCAACCGAAAAGTAAATTCACATTCAAGAAAACATTAAAAGTACATCTACTAAGAGTGGCCATATGACTGGACAGATACTGACCCCTGAATATATGGATTGACTGTTCAATGTTACCTTTCAGGTATTTTAAATGTCTGTAATGTCTACTTGTTAATGTTTTTCAAATGTATATAAATTGTAAAGTATTTTTGTCTGTAATGTATTTTTCTTTATGTCGGACCCCAAGAAGACTAGCCGTCGTCATAGCGTCAGCTAATGGTGATCCAAATCAAAGCTAGGCTATCATTCTGGGGAGGGTTCATTGGCTCATTTTGCTGTAGACTTTCATAGGAAAAGATGCCAGTTATGACTGAGCAGTATTGTAGATCCTACTGTGCAATAGATTAGGTGCATTAACTTGATGTATTAACTTGTTTTATGCATCAGGCAAATAACTTGCTTGTTGCAAATGCTGACTTGTTCTTTTTCGTTGTCATTTATGCAGGAGGAGGACCTGACTCCGCTGAACTTGAGTTTGAAGCGTCCAGAGAGCAACACCAGGAAGAAAGCAACGCTAAGGGGTCTCACCGCTGTCCTCACTGTGAGAAGAGTTTCCCATTCTTCTCACATCTTGAAAGACACCTGCTAATACATGCTGGAGAGAGAACTTACTCCTGCTCTTACTGTGGGAAGTGTTACTTCAAATCAAGTAATCTAACACTTCACCAGAGAGTGCACACATGAGAGAAACCTTACTACTGCTCTGACTGTGGGAGGTGCTTCGCCTTATCCCATCATCTAACACTTCATAAGAGAGTGCACACAGGGGAGAAATCTTACTGCTGCTCTGACTGTGGGAGGTGCTTCGCCTTATCCCATCATCTAACACGTCATAAGAGAGTGCACACAGGGGAGAAACCTTACTACTGCTCTGACTGTGGGAGGTGCTTCGCCTTATCCCATCATCTAACACGTCATAAGAGAGTGCACACAGGGGAGAAACTTTACTACTGCTCTGACTGTGGGAGGTGCTTCGCCTTATCCCATCATCTAACACGTCATAAGAGAGTGCACACAGGGGAGAAATCTTACTGCTGCTCTGACTGTGGTAAGTGCTTCTCTAAGGCCCAGACTCAATCAAATACGCGCTAGGCGTTAGCCGACACCTGCATAGCTGTTGTTTTGGTGTCGGAGGTGGATCTGCTTTAGAGCTGTCAAAGCAGCTCCTTGGATAGGCTATTGTGGACACCGCCATTGGATGCAATGAAACCACACCTGTCCTTTTGTAGCTCAGTTGGTAGAGCATGGCGCTTGTAACGTCATGGTAGTAGTTTCAATTCCCGGGACCACCCATACAGTCATGCGTGCATAAACTTTACGTAAGTCGCTTTGGATAAAAACATCTGCTAAAAGGCAGATATATTATAGGATATTTATAATAATCCAACAAATCCCATGCAGCCGTGTTACAAGTTCAAACACATGATGTTCTATTGTCTACACCTCGATGAGACAATATAAATCCCTCCATTCAAATTAAAATGAAAACTTGCATAATAACGTATATAGCAATACGAATAATAATTAATTAATAAATAACTATTAATTAATAAATAACTATTAATTAGCCTCCACACGTGAAATCGGTTGGCAAACTGCTATGGTCAATATACAAATAGAACACATATGCAAGTGTGTTTCTCAATGTCACCAGCAATGAGTAAGTAACAGGTAAGGTAATACAAAGTTTAGCCTATTTCCTAGGAATTAATCACATGCATTAACTACAACCTGATGCTGTTTCATATCCATTTCACATGTTGATAAAGGAAAAAGAAAACAGAAAGGAATGGAGGAAACTGAAAAAAAGAGGCACAGATTCACCCCTGGAGATGAGGATCGTATTATTTCGGGGGTTCTTGGGCACTGGGAGGACCTCTTCGGCGCCCAGGCCCACATTCGCCCCCGGGGGTCAAAGACTGCAACCTGGAACAGCATCGCGGGTACCTTGACCTCGGCTGTGGCGAGATGTGGCGACGATGTCCGGAAGAAGTACAATCTCATCAGGAACCAAATCAAGCAGAAGGTTTCATCTCTCCGGGCATTGTCCAGCCAGACTGGTGGGGGGCCCAACACTGTGCTGGAGCTGACCCACCTGGAGCAGCAACTTCTCTCCCGAATGGCAGAGACCGTAACAGGTGTAGGGCCTGCTGATCTGGGAATTGGTGAGTGCTAATGTGACAGCGTTTTAGCAACATTAAGTCTTGTTCAAATCTGTTCATAAACACCCCCAGGAAGAATTACACTTTTTTAAAAGTATTATTATATGTATTTATTTTTCATTTTCTGACAAGCAAGCGCTTAGATTATGGTCATTTTCACGTTTTCATAAATTCATTCATAGAATGTTTGGGAATGACGTATAGTAAGGCATTTGTGAAAATTCTATATCAATATAGAGTGGGAAAGGGGCTGTGCGTTTGGACAATTTTAATAGACACTGCAGTAAATAAAACCTAATAAAAACATCTGTCTTGTCCAGGACCGGAGTCTACGCAGGCCGGTGCGACATAGCCAATCAGAGCTACAGTAGGCCTATATGCAAATAAGCCATTTGCCACACAGGCCTGCCATCATTCACTTTGAACTGGACTGTGTGTTTACAGGCAGTTGCAACTGCGCAACTTTAGATCATTAGAACGCATTCGCCAAAAGCCACAAAATACACCTGAATAGATTTCTGCAAATACTACAGGGAATTCTCTTACATTTGGGAACGTCGTGGTCCTATTGATCAAACAGCCATGAAAAGGTAGGCTCTCTCTCCCTCAGTTGTCTATGCACATCAACAAGATCAACAACTAATGCTAGCCAGAGCGAGATGAGCTAAAATCAAACGAGGGAACTTTAGATAAACCTTCTCAAACTTTTTCAGCTAGTTGGCCGTCAGAATTGCACTGATAAACCTATGGGGAATAGTAGCCTGCTCGTCCTTCTGCAGCTTGCCTGCCAATACATGGTTGTCCCAACCCACGTTTTGACAACTGAATGGGAACTTGCCTGCCTACCCGCCCATTTAATCGATGCCAAATTCTTCTTCTTCGGTGGGGTTTATCGGCGGTTGGCATCCAACGTTATGGTGCAGAGACGGGGAGAAACTAAATCCTACCTGCCAGCCCTGTTACTCTTAAAAAAAGATAACAAAATATTTGAGACTATATCTAATGACGTTCTACTCAATATACTGTAGCTCAACTGGTAGAGCACGGCGCTTGTAACGCCAAGGTAGTGGGTTCGATCCCCGGGACCACCCATACACAAAAATGTATGCACGCATGACTGTAAGTCGCTTTGGATAAAAGCGTCTGCTAAATGGCATATTATTATTATTATTATTATTATTATTATTATTATTATTATTATACTCTTTGAACTAATGTCCTGTATCCCCTTCTCCCTCATACTAGATCTCAGCCTCTCTCTTTCCCTCTGATACTGCCCACACTGTAGCAATACATGCCCAACTGATGCCAAATACATTTGATTAACAACTAAGAGATATGCTAACTGTGGAGAACAGTCGTTCCAGTTCAGCATTGCTAGCTAGCCAGAAAAACGACTCGCATTTCTTGCTAGCTAAACAAATGACACCTGCACCTCTAGCTGTAGCCACCGAAAAACGATATGAGGGGGAAAAGTCAGTCACTCACCCACTCCTCCAATGACATGACATCCTCCCAGCAGCTAGCTAGCTAGCTAACGTTTGGCTCCGTGTTTTTAGCTTGCTAAATAAATAGCTAGCTACATAAATAGATACGCTAGCCCAGGGGTGTCAAACTCAATCAGCGCACAGGCCATATTGAAAAAAAACGAAGAATTTGCCAGCCAGACATAGCCTATTTGTTGTTGTTTTTTAAACAAGCATCTGCGAACCAAAATGGCCATTTGTTTTATTTTATTTATAATTTCCACTTATGTACATATGATGCTGTATATAACATATTAAAACAAAAGAAGATAAATAATATTTGTCCAGCCTTTGCTGCTATGCTTGCAGACGTGCATAATATGCTATAACTCTTAGCTATACACAAGTTTTTGAGCCGTTTCCGCTCTACTTCCTGAACTCCTCCCGTCGATGCAATCCACTTCCGTTCTGCCGGGCTGGGTTTGTTTTTCTAGCTAGCTCCGTTGTGCCGACAAAGGACTGATATCGCAGTGACAAAGAGGATATACAAATTACAATTACAACATGAAGAAAAGTGGTTCGGGAACGACGTGTGCGGTAGTTGGTTGCAAAAACTCGAGAAAGCACCTGAACGAGTGGTTAGATAGAGAGTGCTACGACCACAAACCAGCTACGAAGAGGCAATGTCCATGCGCTCCATTGTTTACATTTTTTCGCAAGCCTGATACCGACTCGGAATCAAGGACCTGGCTGAAGGCATTGAATCTAAAGAAACCACCCCTCAACGTTTTTGTTTGTTCCTATCACTTTGTTGACCAAAAACCTACCAAGGATAATCCTTTCCCAGAGTTGTGGTTGGGATACAATCGCCCTCCCCAGCCAAAGAGGCGTCAACTCACCCAGCGGACCACTGCCTCCCCCCAGATAAAGAAACGCAGACTTGAATCTGAGGGTAAGTTCAGCAACTTTAGCTATGAAGCTGACAATACTGTTAATTATGAAGAAGTTGTCATACATTAACATTGCTACCGGTATTTTGCTAAGGCAGTTGATTGTTTTGGAGATGGGACAAACAATGCCCACGATAGCTACATCATTAATTGTGTGTGTGTGTGTCTGCCTGCGTGTGCCTTAGTCTACATCATAAATACAATGCAAAAAATAACAAATTGATGGATTTATAGCGTTTTGAAAAGAAGACATAGGCCTAGGCTACAATGGTCAAATAATTACCTTCCACAGGATCGCAGCTGAGTGGGAACAAGATCTCCCTGGTCCAGCAACACACGTACATCCCGCAGTTTTGACTTCTCCAGCTTCAGTTACCAGCACCCAAGCATTATGCCATGCATTGTTCAAACACTGGCTAGGCTCTACATTTGCTTTCAGATAAACAAAACGATCATGTTTGTATGACATGACACAACCGACTTTGTTGCTGTGCAGATATTGATATGCCTCGGAGGCTTTCAGATTGTCCATTGCTTTTCCATCTATTGCCATGGATTGCACGAAGTAGGAGCAAATCTTGCTGTACGTTATGTTGGGCCACGTCGTCATGTTATCCTCCCAGTTCTGCACTGAATTCGGGTGGAGGAGAGTAGCGCCATCTCCAGTCAAAGTAGTAGAACCGTGTTCCCAAGCTAGCGTCGACATCGCTGTGTTTACACCGGCAGACGTTGTGCAAACAACTTCCGGCGGAAATGAAATGCATTTGTGTAGAGTTATGGCGCCAACCGGGATACAGCGCGTAAACTTGTGTATATGCTGTTGGAACATTTAAACTTTTAAAAAAATATTTTACATGTTTTTGCACGGCAGGGATCACTGGTATGGTTGAATACAGCATTGCTGTATGGGGCACTCAAAATGCAGTGTAGTTGAGTAGCCAGCCTAGGCTATTGCTCAAATGTTGCTGTAGGAAGCCTACATGTTTCTCCTTTGTCTGGTATTTTGTTGCAGGTTTAGTGAATTATATTAATCATGAATTTTGAGTCAAATATAACCTATTTTTAAAACCTCTTTTATAAAGTTGGTTTTGAATCATGAACTGGGAATTTACATACCAAAGTCCAATATATCAAATATCCTTCCCCCAACGGACATTTTTGTGTATTACATTTCAGAACAATCCAGGATGTTTTTTTGTTGCAGTCAAACAGATCCGTCCATAAATGCAGGTAAAGTCATTGTTAGCTGCCCATCGCTGCAGACGTGTGTGTGGTCTTTAATGAGTAGCCTAAATGAGCCTAGTCAAGGCAAAGGTTTGATTTAACAATTTCACTGTGAGCCACACAAACTTAATTAAATTCCATAAGTATTAAATCAGCATCAGTACCTGATGAATGGAAAGGACGGAACACACTCCAGGAATAATTTAAGTGTATTCTTTATTTTAATGAAAAAGCATAATGCCATAATGGTAAACCAACAGAAAACATGACTAATATAACACATGACATTTTAAAGGAAGTAATTTCAACAAGAAGTGATAAGAAATCATATTAACCTAATCTTCTTTTCCAGGTCCCTCTCAGGGAGACATCTCCAGCTCTGGCCCCCCACCAGCAGCAGAAGAGAGCACTGTGGAGTCCGCTTTACCCTCTAATGTCACCATGGAGGAGGTACCCTCCACCTCACCATCAACACCTTGGCCAGCGCCAACAGTGCCACCCCATCCCATCACCTCCTGTCCTGCACCATCTCACTCAATCCACTCTGGCTCTGCTCCCCATCCCATCACCTCCTGTCCTGCACCATCTCACTCCATCCACTCTGGCTCTCCACCCCAACCCATCACATCTGGCTGGACACCACAGGGCCCCCAAGCCAAACTGCTCCAACACATCCTGGACACACAAACACAACAAATCCATGTTACACAGACCTCCCAACACATCCACCAAGCTCTTTATGATTTATTAGAAAAAGCACATGAAACACAGAAGGCACACCTGGATGTGGAGAAGAACCGGCTCCAGCTGGATAGGGAGCGCTTGAGGGTGGAGACAGAGCGCCTGCAGGTGGAGAGGGAGCGCCTCCAGCTGGAGAAGGATCGCCTGGGGAAAGTGGAGGCCCGGGAGGTGCTTCGGCAGCGCTCTGTCTCCAGGTCAGTCGCCCTAGAACACCAGACGCCTGTGAGTTCATGAACTGCCAGTGCCTCCCCCACCCTTCCTCTGGGAACACCATCAGCCTCCATGTCCAGTCCCCTCGCATTAATATCACCCACTGCACCACACTTTGATTTCTTATTTGCCCCATTCCCATTAACGGTAATCCCAACCCATTCCACCCAGCCATCACAAACCAGCCCTGCCTACACCTCCCTTACCGTAACCAGCCCTGCACCAACCTCCCCTACCTTAACCATTTCTGCCCCAACCTTCCCTACCTTAACCAGCCCTGCCCCAACCTTCCCTACCTTAACCAGCCCTGCACCAACCTCCCCTACCTTAACCATTTCTGCCCCAACCTTCCCTACCTTAACCAGCCCTGCACCAACCTCCCCTACCTTAACCAGCCCTGCACCAACCTCCCCTACCTTAACCAGCCCTGCCCCAACCTTCCCTACCTTAACCAGCCCTGCCCCAACCTTCCCTACCTTAACCAGCCCTGCCCCAACCTCCCCAACCTTAACCAGCCCTGCCCCAACCTTCCCTACCTTAACCAGCCCTGCCCCAACCTCCCCAACCTTAACCAGCCCTGCCCCAACCTCCCCAACCTTAACCAGCCCTTCACCAACCTCCCCTACCTCAACCATTTCTGCACCAACCTCCCCTACCTCAACCATTTCTGCACCAACCTCCCCAACCTCAACCATTTCTGCACCAACCTCCCCTACTTTAACCATTCCTGCCCCAACCTCCCCTAACCTCAACCATTTCTGCACCAACCTCCCCAACCTCAACCATTTCTGCACCAACCTCCCCCAACTCAAACCATTCTGCACCAACCTCCCTGACTTTAACCATTCCTGCCCCAACCTCCCCTACCTCAACCATTTCTGCACCAACCTCCCCTACCTCAACCATTTCTGCCCACTCTCTCATCCCTCCAACCTCCGGATCTGTTAAACGGCGAGTCCAGGAGACAGTCAGGCCTTGGCCTGCACCCACTGCTAAGAATAAAAAAACTTCAATAAACAAATAATGTCATAAAATACAACAAGTGTTATCTTGTTTTCTTACTCAGGCCAGGTCAAATGTTCCTCTGCCTTTGACCTCTTGACCCCAATCCCCTGCCCTCTTGCCCCCAATCCCCTGCCCTCTTGCCCCCAATCCCCTGCCCTCTTGACCCCAATCCCCTGACCTCTTGACCCCAATCCCCTGACCTCTTGACCCCAATCCCCTGTTCAAATGGGATAAGAGTGAAGGAGTGTGCACCGGTACACACAACACATTGCCTGACGACTCAAACTGAATAATTCCGCTGTTCTATTGTTCGCTACATACTTCAGTGTGAGACTGCCATCATTGAAGTCATTTGTGGAGACGTCAAAATGAGGGATGTTGTACATTTTACATTTACATTTTAGTCATTTAGCAGACGCTCTTATCCAGAGCGACTTACAGTTAGTGAGTGCATACATTATTTTTTTTATTTTTTTTCATACCCCCGTGGGAATCGAACCCACAACCCTGGCGTTGCAAACGCCATGCTCTACCAACTGAGCTACATCCCTGCCGGCCATTCCCTCCCCTACCCTGGACGACGCTGGGCCAATTGTGCGCCGCCCCATGGGTCTCCCGGTCATGGCCGGCTACGACAGAGCCTGGATTCGAACCAGGATCTCTAGTGGCACAGTGCCTTAGACCACTGCGCCACTCGGTAGGTGTACAAAGTCATCAGCGATTGGATCATCTCTAACCGATCAGTATCAGACGGTCTAGAGATCATCAGGAGGTACTCGGATCCAGACTCATTGCGGAGAAGAAACTATCTGTGAGTGTGGCGTGACGTTTGGTCGGAGCAAGGAGTTTGGGTAGCCAGGCAACACAACACAGGCACAATTCATAGAAAAAGTGATGAGTGTACTAATTCAGGAAATGGCACACATTTGATAGTTTTCTATGTTTATCATGAACTGGGCTTAAGAACATGTGCTGTACCTTTGCTTTGGTTAATATTTGTCTTCTGTAAAATAAATGCATTACTATCAGAACTTCTGCCCAGATGGTATGTACAAACTAGTAACTATAATGTATAATGGAGACTGTTATTAAAGACACTGGCTTTTATAAGTTTTCAATTCAACTCTATTTTTACCTTTTATCTAGGACTGAAGACTGCTCTAACGCCACACTCGAGCATATTCTCAGTGGGTCACCTATAAAAAATGTAAATAATGGAGCAAATGCATCCCATGCCAATTCCCCGTGCAAATATGCATGATTTCTAACATCTGTAGCTATGAAGTAATACCCTTCCATTTAAAGTGATTTAAAGCTAGAATTTGTTTACAAAACATGGTTGGGTGCGGGGAAATCATAATGTAAGGCATTTGTACAAATCTCTGGGGTATTTTACAAGGGATATATTTCAGTATTTGAATGTAGGCCTGCTGGGAAAAAAATACATGGTTAAAAGTGGTGCAACAGCCAATGGTAAATTGATGACCCAGATGATTATGTAAAAGTGTGTTCGTGTTTTTCAGACATAACTTCAAGGAGTAGGCCATTCAAGGAATTGATCTGATGGTGCCCCTGATGTCATCAGCCTCCCCCTTTGCTTGCGGGAACAATAGAGGAGCAACAGAGAACAGAAATGTCGTAAGGACACCTGGACCGTGTATAGAGCTTGTAGTCCTAAAACCCGGAAATGAGTGACCTCCGGTTCGTCCAGCTGTCCTTTGGGGAAAATAATAGGGGGTTTGGGATGAACGCCAGAAATAAGGTATGAGGTTGACACGAGATCTTACACGTTTTTTTCTATGAGATCATAGCAGTCAGTCAACTTGACCTTTTACAAATTATAAAGCCTTTTGTGCGCCTTTTCAAATTACATCAATTATTTTTTTGAAATCACAAAAAGTGACATTAGCTGATGAAGATTATATCATAGAACAAAACGTATAAGATCTCCTAAGCCTGTTTTTACCACAGACCTTATTTTTCGGCGTGCATCCAAAACCCCTACAAAAACTCCATTCACTTTGCAATAGGCTTTGTCCAAAGAACCATTGCGGAGTAAGTGCCTACAAAAAGGCACCATTTGCTATTTCTCTCTATAGAGAGCTGGGGAAATGGCGTCCCTTGAGAGGGCCAGAACAAGATGGATGTCAGGAGAAGTGCAGTATTATCATAAGGAGACGTATACTTGGAATACGGAGGAGGAATGGTGGGGAAAAAGAGAGGTGGAGGAGGTCGAAGAGAGAGAGGGGGAGAGGGTGAGCTTGAATCAATTAAAAATGGTGGAAAAAAGGGAGATGGTTTGTTAATGAAGAATGGTAGAACATGTAAGCAGAGTGAACTGTACGTCGGATCGAAGACAGGAGAAGAAATGGAAGTGAATGAGTGCAAAGTATCGGAGGTGGTAGGTGTGGTGAAGTACTCGGAGCCTGAGGCTAGCACCGAGGGTCAGGATAAAGATGAATCTGTGACAGTAGGAGTTACGTTTTTGGAAAAAGAGGACCCTTTCCTTTTGGCTGATCCAATTGTGCTTTCAGGGTGCTGTGGAATCGGTGAAGGTAACCAGAAGTGGTCTGGTGATAATTGTTTGTGTTTCTGCTGGTCAGAGGGAGCAGACGCTCCATGTTAAACGAATGGGGACAAGAGATGTGAATTGTTTTGCTCTCAATAAAAGGCTGCCATTGAAAGGAGTGATGACTGGGGTAGCGGTAAATGTGAAAGTTGACCAATTGAAGGGGAAGATTCCCAATGTTTGTGATGCTCATCGTTTGGTATGACACAAACAGGGTGGCGTGAGTGGTGAAACAGAAGGGTCGTTGTCTGTTCTTTTGAGTTTTGATGTTGAGTCTTTGCCTGACAAAGTGATCTTAGGATATATAAGTTATCCTGTACGAGCTTTTGTTGCCGAATACATTACGTTGTTACAGGTGTCAAGCTAATGGGCATGTGGCAGCAGTGGGTAGGAGGGAGGTTCCTAGGTGTGAGAAGTGTGCAGAAGGGGATGAGACAAAGGAATGTGTAGCATTGGGGAAAGTAGTGGTGCGCTATACACTACCAGTCAAAAGTTTGGACACACATACTCATTCAACGGTTTATCTTTATTTTTACTATTTTTTTACATTGTAGAATAATAGTGAAGACATCAAAACTATGAAATAACGCATATGGAATCATGTAGTAACCAAAAAAGTGTTAGCCACCCTTTGCCTTGATGACAGCTTTGCACACGCTTGGCATTCTCTCAACCAGCTTCATGAGGTAGTCACCTGGAATGCATTTCAATTAACAGGTGTGCCTTGTTAAAAGTTAATTTGTGGAATTTCTTTCCTTCTTAATGCTTTTAATCCAATCACTTGTGTTGTGACGTGGTAGTGGTGTATACAGAAGATAGCCCTATTTGGTAAAATACCAAGTCCATATTATGGAAAGAACAGCTCAAATAAGCAAAGAGAAACAACAGTCCATCATTACATAAGACATGAAGGTCAGTTAATTCGGAACATTTCAAGAACTTTGAAAGTTTCTTCAAGTGCAGTCGCAAAAACCATCAAGCGCTATGATGAAACTGGCTCTCATGAGGACCGCCTCAGGAATGGAAGACCCAGAGTTACCTCTGCTGCAGAGGATGAGTTCATTAGAGTTACCAGCCTCAGAAATTGCAGCCCCAATAAATGCTTCACAGAGTTCAAGTCACAGACACCTCTCAACATCAACTGTTCAGAGGGGACTGTGTGAATCTGGCCTTCATGGTCGAATTGCCGCAGAGAAACCACTACTAAAGGACACCAATAAGAAGAAGAGACCTGCTTGGGCCAAGAAACATGAGCAATGGCCATTAGACCGGTGGAAATGCAATCAGCTAAGATCTAGAGGCAAGATGGCGTATAGAACACACAGCGGTGCGAATCACCAAGATCAAAACGTATTATTCAATATCAGTAAGTTAGACTAAATATTAGCACTTCATATACTCATGGGTAATAACATTCAATCTGGATAATAACACAAAACAAATCATAAGGCTAGAAAAATGTATTGACAAATATTACAACAAGCAACACTCAAACATGACGGAGGATAAACGAGGAGAATCAATCTCCAAGAGAAAACGCGACTCCTCGACAGATACCTATTTATGCTTTTCACCACTGGGACTGGTAAGTGTGGAAAGCGATCTGTTGAAGTCGATAAATGACAAACTGGGCATACTAGAGTTGGTCAGTAAGGATGTAAAGGAGTTGAAGGCGAATCTTGAAATGAGTGACGAAAAAGCTGCGATAATGGAGAAAGATACAAAAAAGCTCAAAGGGACGGTCACTAAGATAGAAACGGACATTAAGGAACTTAAAAAGGAGAACAACTTTCTGAGAGAAGCCTTACTAGACATACAGACTAGATCAATGAGAGAAAATCTAGTACTTACGGGGATCCAAGAAAAAGGAGAGGCTACCGGAAAAAATTGTGAAGGACTTCTTTCCTACAGCGCTTCAAATCCCACTCGATGCTGTCGATAAAATCCAATTCGAACGTGTACACCATTTCGGATAAAGAGGACAGAGATATGAGCGTCCAATCATTGCCAAATTTGCTTACTTTAAGGATAAAGTAATGGTTAAAAGCCTAGGTAAAAGACCTGCTGGCACGAAAATAGGCATTAAGGATCAGTTCCCGAAGGAGATTGGGTACAGAACTTTGCGCGGTTCTGCAATCTTCAAGGAAAATAGATTAAAAGGGAAGCGTTTTG